GCTAGAAAATCTGTTCCAAATAGAAACCGGTATGCATTAAATATTTCTTTATTTTAGTTTTATTCCCCGTATCTATAAGTTCATAGAAAATTGGTTTTAAAACGATTTTCTTTTATTCAGCATAGATGAATACAATATCATCAAGTATCCATTGACCACTGAAGCTGCCATGAAAAAGATTGAAGATAACAATACCTTAGTTTTTATCGTGCATACTCGTGCTAACAAATACCACGTCAAAGCCTCTATTAAGAAACTCTACAATGTTGATGTAGCCGAAGTCAATTCTTTAATTAGGCCAGATGGTAAAAAGAAAGCGTATGTACGATTAACCCGCGATTATGATGCACTTGATGTCGCTAATAAAATTGGTATAATATAAATGTATCTGATTGCTGTGGAAGAAAAAATATACTTGTATTAATACAACATATTAATACAAAAAATCTTGTATTTCTTTCCAAATTTTACATCATTCATATATATCCTAGAACAAATTTTACATTATTTTGATGCAACTTACATATCAGGAAAGTAAAAATATTGCTGTATATAGTTCATGTACATACATCCGCAGTTTAAGATAGATACAAAAGGAGATAGAAATATTTTGAAATTAGTCAGGTACTGTCTCTTTACAAATTAGTACAATAATTTCTATTACAAATTCATACATTTATGACAATGCGTAAGTCATGTAATTGGTAATTAGGTGAAAGGGTCGAAACATTTTTTACTATTATATCAACTTATTTGTATCTTGTAACAACACGTTTGACTAATTTCATGTTAAAAATCTTAATTATTTACATGTCTTAATTACAATCCTAATCTGCCTGGAGTTTTGCGGTAAGGGGCAGGTGTCCCTGGTTCTCTGATACCTGGCGTCAATATTTCTTTCCTATAAATAACATACAATAATAATAATAAGTATATATAAATTAACTTGTAATAACTATTACAAGTTATATAAATAAAATATTATATACTATAATAATTATTAAATAAAATATATGCTATAATATATTACTAATACCATACATATTAATATATCACAAATTTGGAGTACAAGAAACTCACTTCCTGATTGAAGCTTGTTCACGTTCGAGTTGTTCCTGGGCTCGAGCCTTCATTTCTTCTTCAGCTTCTTTCATTTGTCCTTCCATTTCATGTAAATGTTGCATAGCTTGTCGTCTCTTTGCTCGTCCGCTTCGTCCAGTCTCTTTTACGCTGAAGAACATAGGACCCAATTCCGCCAGCCAGTGGCCATCAACGGCAGTTACACACTGCATGTATTCTTTGGCAGTCATTACAAGTTCGTGATATACCACATAATCTGGCGTGAAGCCCATACCGAACAAAGCCGACGTTGGATGAAGATGGCAAGGCATTCCAGTACGACAATTCACGTATTCGCCGATACCTTTTAAACGAGCTGCTTGGTGGAAGTACGCCGAACAGATACACTTTCGTACAATATCCCAATCGGTGCCGCAACTCACAACTTCCATCTTCTGTTGTTTCAGAATCTCTTCAAGCTGCTGTCGAACTTCTCTTACCTTTCGCATTGCTTTCGCATGAATGAAATGATCGTTACACCAGGAACTTGAATACCCGTTCGCCTTCCACTGATTGTACACATTTAGATACGTCAAATGATCAGACTCTGGTACTTGGAACTTCTCTCTGGCTGAGTCAGAATCTTCTTCGCGACCCTTGGGTCGATAGAATATCGAAGGCACCGACAGCATGGAAACTGAAAGATATTTCATTTATAATTTATGAAAAATGAACTTGTTTGCGTGAATTAAAATTAGAATAAAAAATTAATGTGAAACATTTCCTATTTTTTCCTTTATATATTACCTATGATGAGTATATCCGCAGTGCAACCAAGTTGAGAAGCGACAATGAGCATCTGACACTGTGGTGGATCCAATGGAAATTCAGCCATTTGTCGTCCCAAAGGCGTTAAACGTCCTGTATGATCTAACGCGCCCAAAATCCACAACTGATAGAGCGAATTTAATATATTATCTTGCGGCGGAGGATCCATGAAGTGAAAGGCTAATAAATCTTGAACACCCAACGACTTCAGTAACAACACGGTATTTGCTAGATTGGTTCGTTGTATTTCTGGAACTCCAGTTAACAGTAATTCATCCAAATACTGCCTCCGTGTGTACAGTCTGTAACAGGTACCAGGACCAGTACGTCCTGCTCTTCCCGCCCTTTGATCAGCATTAGCTCTGGACACTGGATACACTTGTAAAGCATCCATACCGATCCGTGGGTTGTAGACTTTCAATTTACAGTAACCGGAGTCCACAACGAACACAATTCCGTCAACAGTTAACGAAGTTTCAGCTATGTTCGTCGCGACAACGCATTTCCGTAAACCACCCTCCGAACGTTGGAAAATTTTAGCCTGCAAGTCCGAAGGTAGTTGCGAGTAAATCGGTAAAATGGAAAGCGGAGGAGCTGATTCAATTTCCGCTAAACGTTCTTTCAAAGCCTCGCAAGTAACTTCGATGTCTTCCTGACCGGGCATGAAGACCAATACGTCGCCTGAACGGGGTTGCAAGTGTATTTGTAACACCTGTTTTACTGCAGCGTCGACATAGTCCTCCACTGGATTTTTAGCGTGTAACACTTCAACTGGAAATGTACGACCTGGAATTTGGAATGTCGCTGCATTTCCAAAAAATGCCGAAAATTTGCTGGAATCCATCGTGGCAGACGTTACAATTAACTTCAGATCGTGTCGTCTGGCAACAACCTGCATATTTTAAACGCAAGAAATATAAATAACGAAATGTAAATAAATTTTTAGCTGACTATATTATACAACAATCCAGGAAATTATTTGAACACAGATACTTTTTACAGAGTCGCCATATGTAAAGTAAAATTAACTTTTAAAAGATTTTTACCTCTCTCAATAGACCAAATAAGACGTCAGTAGATAAAGATCTTTCATGAGCTTCGTCCATAATAATTACGCTGTATCGATCTAAATCTCCTTCCCTTAAACTTTCTCTTAATAAAATACCGTCAGTCATGTATTTAATAACAGTCTGTAAAAAAAGAAAACGAAATTATCTTTAAACGTCTATTTAAAATTACTTTATAAGACATTTTACTAAAACCGTAGAAGATAACAAAAAAGATACATACATCTTTTGAAGTGCAATCCTCGAAACGAATGGCATAACCAACTTTATCTCCTAGAGTAGTAGCCATTTCGTCAGAAACTCTTTTCGCTACAGACATAGCTGCCACGCGTCTAGGTTGCGTACATCCAATTATGCCATAGCGACTATAACCATCTTCATGAAGGTATTGCGTTAACTGTGTTGTCTTTCCACTGCCAGTTTCTCCGACAATAACTACTACGCTGTTTTCTCTGATTACGTTTAACAACTCTTGTCGTACAGCAAACACTGGAAGACTTCTTCTCTGATGTTGAATGGATCTGTACTTGGCTTCTCCGGTAACTTCGTCTCGTATGTGGCGTGCATATTTTTGACCGGCTTTAAAATCAGTCTCTTGCCCTGGATCCTCTTTGTCATCTTTGTTTCTATCGCGTACACCCATGATATTGCCAATATGAGTTCCAGCTAGTTCCCAATGCTTCTTTTGCGCCCTTTTCCGTTCTTTTTGTTCGCGGTATGCTCGTACCAAGGCGGATCCTTTCCTTGCCACAAGTGCCATGTCGGAAGTAGGATCGCGAACAGGTACAACAGGCTCCGGTTGTTTGGTGAATACAATCCGACCTAATTATATTTTTATTGTCATTACAAAAATTCGTTACGTTTTTATATTAAATATCGGACGTAGTAAGAATACTTTACCATCCAAGAACGGTGGTACAACATTATGAACCAAGAGGTGCACTCTGGTTTCCCCTTCATCATCAGGATCATCGTCGTGATCTAAAGAACTTACAACACCCGACGTTAACATTCTATTACGTTCCCACAACTCGTTATCTTTATTTATTTGTCGCTGCTGTGCAGAAAGACGCTTCTGTCTCTTCGCCTCTAATTCCATTTCCTTTTTACGCGTATATTCTTCAGAGACATCGCCAAATGCGCGGTTTTCACCATCGTCCAAGGCGTACCATTCTCTATCTAGTCTAAAAACAAATATCTATTTGTCAATAATCGCATAAAAAGTAAGAGCTTACAACAATATGATTAGTAAAGTGATACCTTTGTTGTTCTTCTTCCCACAACTCTTTTTCTTCTCCATCTATACTAGGCGTAGCACCGCTGGCTTTTCGATCTCTATTCCATGAGTTATACTTGTACGATGGCGTAAATTCACTTCTAATACTGTCTCGACCATCTCTGGTATTATAAAGATTGGGCGTTGGATGATCCCAACTGGATTTTCTTGGTTCTTCATCTTCATCATCGTCCCAATTACTTTTAGATGTTGAGTCCTATATCACATGATACAATAATAGATTTTCAAGAAAATATAAATTACATTAACATAAAAATATCTGTAGTCTAATAGTAATTCGCAACTTTGATAAAGACTGGAATAAAATATATGAAATACCTTATTATAAGACACAGAGTTATATATTTACCTTTGTTTTAAATACCGGAGTCTGAGGTTCATCCTTAAATCTTAAAGGTGTTTGTCTACTACTGTCTCTAATGCTGTCTCTGCTTCTACTCCTTTCTCTTTCTCTGTCCCTGTCTCTATATTTGTCTCTGTCTCTATCTTGATCCCTATCCCTGTTCCTATTTTTGTTCTTGTAATTATGCTTATAATGTTTGTCTTGCGCGCTTAGTCTTTGATGCTTTAACCGTGCTTCCAATCTTTGTTGTGCCTCGGTGTTCACTCCGCCGGTATGAGTTGGAGTTTCTTCAGCGTAAGATCTGTACTTTCTTTCTTTAACTTCTGAGTTCGACGAACTCGACTCAGATCTGGTCGAGTTGCCTTCCTGCGAATTCTCTTGCCTCTTCCGTTTCGCAAGCTTGTCGAGACCCAACACAGACACCTGGGGCTTCTTAAACGTGTGATCAGAGGGTTTCTTCCGAATAATCAAGCCTCCTGCCTGATTCTTCTCCGTCCCCTCTAACCTATACAAACTCGAGTCACTCGGCGCATCCATTTCTTTATCCCAAGTAATATTCGTCACTTAAAGTTTACACAACATTTAATAATACACGTCATAGTATCTTTTTTGTACATACGCTATAATATAACACTATGTTACAATAGAATATATATTGTAATTATAATATACATTGTCGTATATGACAAATTGATTTGATAGCTTTTAAATGATTAAGTCGAAGATGATTGAAGAACAATTCATAGGGTGTTAAAAGACCTGGAAATTATTATTGTGATTAATGTATTGTACTTGTGCACATATTACTTGATCACTT